ATAAATCATAACTCCTTGCATAATGTGTCATTATGTGAAACAGCTTTAGAAACTCTAGCTTATGATATTAAATTGTTAAGGGCATGGTTATGGATTGAATCATAAGACTTGTCCTATAGCTTTGAAGGTAGCTGAATATTTGTTCAAGCCATATTCAGACTTTCTCTAATTTCAGCTAGTTGTCTACAAATCTGTGCTAAGGTTGGAATCAACAAATATTCAGCCAGCAACTGCAAAATACCTAATATATTAGTGTTAATTATTATTAGAGATTTAAGGGCTAGCAGGTTTACTCTAAAATTTCAATATCTAATTAGGTAGACATTTCTCTTTCATTCAGAAACCACTTATCATTTTTAAGTACCATATGAAACAAAATAGACATAAATAAAACAACTAAATAACTATTGTATTCCACCATGTTTCACTAACAACCTGGGTTATATGCATGAAATTAACTGTGGCTGACAAAACAGCAGTTAGCCATATGAGGCCCAATAGAAACAGCAATAACAAACATTTATTGCATGCTTGATACATACCAGGCATTAGTGGTGAGAAATGTTGGGAAACAAAACAGAGATGGATATGATTTTTTCACTGATAAGTTTATAGGACTAGTAAGAATGTCAGACAAGGAATACAACGATGATCTTTTATGAAAGGAGAAATATGATTTGCTACATGGAGGATACAGTCAGGGGATTTTAGTTTAAGGTATCAGGGAAAGTGTCTCTGAGAAAGTGATTTTTTGGGTTCTGAGTTGGATAATGAAGCCATTGTGCAGGGGGAGGCAAGGATAGAATTTCAAGCTAACGGAATAGCAGATATGGAGGCTCAGAAATGGGAGAGGACACTGAGAAAGTGAAAGAAGTCCAGATTATATAATACAGAGTAAAGGACAAATTAGTGAACAATGATGTTGGAGAGGAAGGCAAGGGCCACATTACACAGGAGCTTACAAAACTGTTTATGTTTTGTAACTTTATCCTAAGTGCAGTGTGAAGGAAAATAGTATAATCAGTTTTGTTTACAAAAAAAAAATTCATGCTGGGATGAGAAGAATGAGTTGGTGGGGGATTTGTGAGAATGCATGCTGGGCAGAACGTCTAGGAGAGAGAAGGTGGGAGACAGCGGTGGCTGGAAGGACGGTGTCTACCAAGTCAACGAACGCCATTCATACCTGAGTTCAGGTAGGGGCCAGTGTTGCCATTCACACAAACCTATCGGAGGAAATGGCTTCACAGTCCAATGAAGATGGCCAAGTATTTATTTTATTATGCACTTAGAGACAATTAGAACCTTACAAAAGTAGACAAAATCATATAATAAATCCTCACATAGCCAATCACCAGCTTTAACAATAATCAACTCTTGGTTAATCTTCCTTCATACACACAGACGGTCTCCAATTTACAATGGTTTGATTTAGGATTTTTTTGTTTTAAGTTGGTGTGAAAGTGATACATATTCAGTAGAAACTGCATGTTGTGTACCCATATAACCATTCTGTTTTTCACTTTCAGC